TCTCTCGAGTGGATTCCCATATCATTCAAGTTGACGTGTTTTGAATAGCTCATCTCTGAGTCCATTCCACTTTAACACTTCAAAGTAATCAACCTGTCGAGAATTAACAATTTAGAAAATACGAATAACAAATCTCTTTGTTAGCAACTCTCTCAAATCTACTTCCCATATCATCCAAATTGACGTGCAATCAATGGCTCAACTTAGAGTCCATGACACTTTAACACTTTTCAGTGATCAACTTGTCAAGAAGTGTCATTGGTTTTATAAAACTTGAAATGAAATAATGAAACATTGTTGTAACATAAAAAGGGCTACCTTATTTTGATTTACAAACTCACCCTTTCCATCATACACCCGAGCTAAGAAATTTAGCTACTCATGACGGAAAGTAAATTGCAAGAAATATAAAGTACGATAAATAAAGACATAAAAATAAATAACGGAAAGTAAATGACGGAATATAAATGATGGGAAATAAAATGCAAAAAGCGTAATAAATAAAATGACATAAATTAAAGAGCAAGTAAGCGTAATAAATAAATGATGGAATTTAAAGAGCAAGTAAATAAAGAAAGCAATTTAAGGAAAACTTGAGATTAGCCAAAAGTTTACTAGTATTTCTAGAGAGAGAAAGTGTTCTTCAAGTAGTAAGACTACTACTTGAGAAATGGAGGAGAGAATGATCTAAAATATAAACCCAACATCTCTATTTATACTAAGGTAGAGATGAGGGTATTACAGACAATTCACACAAATTAGTCCTAAAGCAACCATTAATACAATAAAGTAAAATTAAGAGTTTCAAAGTAGCTAAATTAGCCAACAAGCTCCAGCTAATAAACAGCTGTCCTAAACATAAGAAGTCTTTCAAAAGTCAGCTCTAGTCTTGTCGGTAAACTCCTAGTCCTTTTTCTTTTATTTCTCCACCATCAGGTCATGCTGCCACATTGCCTTAGCATCAAACAACTTCAACCTTTCCAAAATAAATCCAGATTAGTCCAATATCTAACAGAAATAGGTAAATCATTCATTTTAGCTTTAAAATAGAGAAAAGAGATAAAATGACTCAGAGTTGGGATATAAATGGAAAATGACCTATCTAAAGGAGAAGAAAATGGTGTTCTAAGCACTAAATAATTAGTGTGTATCACACCCCCAAACTTAAACCGTTGCTTTTCCCCAAGCAACCAAAAGACAACTAAAAATGACTCAATTTTAAAATTTTGCAAAAAATGGCAGTAAGTGCACACACATGTTGATTATATCGAAAATGCAATATATAGCTTTCATAAATCCCAAGTAAGCATATTCTGCCTAACCATTAGTATGAACCATAATCTAGCTTTATTTGCCTTTTGTTATGCTCAACACATCATATATCTAAGATCAATAGGACTTGTAAGTAACTGGTTCACTCTTATTTGACATATTTTTTCTCTCTTTGCCTTTTCTCACCTTTTTGCATCAACATTGACTTTTTTCAATTCTTGGCACTTTGTGCTCTTTTGTTGACTGCATATACACCTGCCCCAATGGGACATTTTTGGTGTTTTCGATCTTAAACATGGCATTAAAGCTTTAGGCACTTTGTGCACTTTTTGTGTTGTTTTGATCAATATAGTCATGATGATACCCTCCCCCAAACTCAAAGTTTTCAATGTCCTCATTAGAAGTATATAGAGGGGGTTGTTTATGCTTTGGCTACAAATGGCTAGAAATTGAGAAAAGAACAAAGGTCTATATCCTTTCTTAGATGAGCATATGATGTGGATACAAATGTTTTCCCAAGCAAAACGAGCTAGTTCTAGTGATACCAAGTGATTAGAAAATGTAGCTGGACTACAAGTATTATTATGGCTATACATGCATATGACATTTATCAACAAAAGTGTTCCTTGCGAGAAAAGAAACTAAAAAGTGTAAAAACAATCCCAGACTCAAAGAAACAAAACAAAATAAAACAAGAAGCTAAAAGGGAAATGATGGAACCTGTCCTATTCCTGAAGAGTAGGTGAAGTGGAGCTGCCTTCCTTCATCTTCTTGCAATCATCCCTTAACCTTGCATTTTCCTCAAACAACCTTGCATTCTCCTCCTTGAGAGCCTTCATCCTCTTCCCTAGCTTTGCACTAGTCTTTGCCTCCAAATCAGCTTTGATCACTTTAATGTCACATCTGGTGTTCTTCTCTGTTGCCCTCACCCTCTCAACCAAATCAACCTTTAAACTATCAATTTTGTCAAGGAATTCATTCCTTTATTCCAAGAGGCTGTCCATAAGACCACTGTTTTAGGCTAGCAGATCTTTCATTGTCCTTGTCATCCCATCATGCTCATTCTCTTTCTCACCTGTTATGAAACTCAACAAAACTAACAACCTTTCCACATGAATGGAGTTGTCAGAAGTAGTCGGTGATAAATAATGTCTAATAAAACTTATCCAAACATTCTCATCAGGGGACAAATTGGCAGCCTTAAAGGTTTTCAACATGAAATGAGTGTAAGGCTCCCAATCAGTCTCAGGCATTCCAAGGAAAGTCATGTTCTCAACCACATATGCCTCAGAGGCCGTGTGCAAGAGTGCATTATTCTCAAAATCTATGTGAGGTGAAAGACCAAACAATTTTTTATGGCTTTGTCAAAAGTAGACACCTTTCTTTGCGGCTCTATGGATGTGAAACTATTATCATGGATGATTTTATGTTGACAAAAATAAGGACTAATCCTCTTTTGGTCGTCAATGGTCAATCCCATAGTTTTTGTGTACAACTTCAACATATCCACCAATTTCTTTTCTTGATGCTACTCTAGGGTAGATGATATGATGACAAAAAATTTGTCTTCTTCTCCTAGAAAACATACTTCAAATGAGATGGGAGTTGCTTTAACTCTAGGTCAGGTGGTGATACTATTGATTGGGTGGAGTTCTTTTGCTCACTATTTCCCAACAACTCAAAAACAGTAACATCAAATGGGATACTCTCATCCTCTCTCAAATCTAACTCCTCAATAGTCTTTTCCTTTCTTTACCTCATCACTATCCTCTTCCTCTAACTTACAGACCTCTTTAATTCCTTCTTCATAACACATTGCCTCTATTTCAGTTATGATTGAGCACTTCTTCAAGTAATCAGGGTACTTTAAGGAGTTAAAGACATTGAATGTGAATTTTTGGTCCTGAAGTCTCATAGTCAGCTCTCCTTTCTGGATATCTATAAAAGTTCTTCCGATGGCTAGGAATGGTCTCCCTAATATGATAGGAATGTCCTTATCAGCCTCAAAGTCTAAGATGATAAAATCTGCCGGAAATATGAACTTGTCAACTTAGACTAAAACATCCTCAATATTTCCCTTAGGGTACGCAATGGATTTGTTGGCCAATTGAAGTGTAACAGTGGTAGATCTAGCTTCTCTTAGGCCTAAGGTGTTGAAAACAGATAAGGGCATAAGGTTGATACTTGCGCCTAAGTCACACAAAGCTTTCCCAATTTCCTTCCCACCTATAGAACAAAGAATAGTGAAACTTCCCGGGTCTTTAAACTTAAGAGGTATCTTGTTCGTCAGAAGTGCACTACATCCTTCAGTAAGAGCTATAGTTTCATACTCGGTCAGTTTCTTCTTCTTACTTAAGCTGTCTTTGAGAAACTTGGCATAACTTGGCATTTGCTCAATTGCTTCAACAAGGGGTATGTTGATATGTAATACTTTAAATACATCCAAAAATATCTTAAATTGCAGTTCTTCCTTCTGATTCCTTAACTTTTGGGGAAATGGGACATATGGAGGAACTGGTTTTGTCACAACTTTATTTGAATGTGTTGAGCATGATGAGTCATTTATGCCTTGGGTCTTGCTCTTACTCTCTTGTGGTGTGGATGGGATTTCAACATTCATCTTAGAGGTCTCTACAACCATACTCCCTTCTGACTTTTTTCTAGTGGCATCTTCAGGAAACAATAAATGGTAGTCTGATCTTAGGGGGACAGTATTGGTGACCTTAGATGATTGGTTTTCTAATGGTTTTGGTGGGTTTTCAATAACAAGGGCCAATGTTGTAGCATCAGCTTTTGTCAAAATTGGTTCACGATCTTTTTGTACTACCTTTGTCAATTCCTTCCCACTTCTAAGGGTCACTGCTTTAACATGTTCCTTTCCTAAGGCTCTTGGGACTTCTGTGTTACTAGGCAAAGTACCAAGGACTTTATTGGTTTGATTGAGTGCAAGTTGACTGACTTGGGTTTCCAGATTTCTGATAGCAGCACTTTGCTGATTAAAAAGAGATTGATTCTAAGAGTTTTGTTGGGTTATCAAAGCTTGATTTTGAGCTTGAGCTTATGCAAATAACCCTTTTATCATTGCTTCCAAAAAAGATGATAAATCAGTCTGTAGAGGTGGCTTGTTTTGAAAAGGTGGTTGAGTAGTTTGAAAACTTTGCTGATGATGATTATGAGAGTAAGAACTACTTGCATGCTGTTGGGGTTGAAAATTAGAGGTTCATTGCTGCTTATGAACAGGTGGATTCAAACTTGGACTGTTCCAAGAGAAATTTGGGTGTTGTTTCCAACTTGCATTGTAATTGTTGGTATAGGGACCAGATCCATTATGAACATAATTTATGGATTCAGAATTATGAGGGCAATGTTCATACGAGTGCTCCCCTCCACAACAAACACATTGCAATGAGAGGACTGCTGGAACAGGTGTAGTAACAGTTGGCTACACTCCTTGGCCTGAAGTTAGGTTTTTAAGCATGTTGGCCATGGAAGAGAGTTATGCTGTTAATGCAGTGTATGCATCTACATCATGAATTCCGGCTGTCTTCTTTTGCGGTTGGGCACATGGATCAGCCTAGTGTCCATTGTTTGCAAAAATCTTTTCAAGGATTTCATACCCTTCATTGTAGGTACTAGATGTAAAGGCTCCTCCCGTAGTCGCATCGAGCATCTGTTTAGCCATGGGACTTAACCCATTGTAGAATGTCACGAGTTGAATATAGTAAGAAATGCTATGGTGTTGGAATTTTCTTAACAACTCTTTAAACCTCTCCTATGCATCAGGAACAACTTCATCGTCCATTTGTTAAAAAAGACAGATTTCATTTCGGGACTTAGCGTTCCTGGTGGGTGGAAAATATTTTTGTAAAAACTTTTCGGCCATATTTCCGCATGATGGTATAGAACCTGGTGGTAATGAATTAAACCAAGACTTTGACCCGATCCCGTAAAGAAAATGGAAATAAAGTAAGTCTTAGAGCATCGTTAGACACTCCCGGGATCAAGAAGGCGTCAGTAATTTTCATGAAAGATTTTAGATGTGAGTGAGGATCTTCCGATGGTAATCCTGCAAATTGCCCATTTGTTTGTAACATATGGAACATGATCGGTTTAAGCTCAAAATGGAGGGCAGTCATATGAGGTCTAATTATCCCTGAGTTCAATTGCTCAAAGTCAGGAATAGCATAGTCCATGATTCTTCCATTTCTAGAGTTTGCAAGATTAATTATATTTGGAGTTTGAGCTCTTGGATGATCATTATTTTCAGATTCTGTGTCATTATGTCCATCTTCATGATTTGGTGGCCATTGTTGAAAAGGATGTCCTGGTGGGTTTTGAAAAAGTGGTGCATTTGGTAGAAAAGGCTGAAATTGTGGTATTTGACCAAAGGCTGGTGGATTTTGAATTGGTACATCTTCGTCAACTGAGGGAGGTAACGCCATATTAGGATGGAGTAGAGCAGAAATTGCTCTTTGAGCCCTTCTTCTTTGGCAGAATATTCTCTCAATATCCGGATCGAATTCGAGAAACTCCCCGTGGTGTATCCGTGGCATACACCTGCTAAAAGTAGATCAAACGATGTTATAAAAAAGCAAGTATACAATTAGTCCCGATATCGTCTTTTAAGTAATAAAGTGGTACAAGTACCGGATATCGTTCATAGGGATTGTAGTAAAAGTTTAGATGAAAGTAATATTAAGAAGATGATTTCAGAAGGCGAATTCGAAGACTTTGATTTGAACAGAGTTAACACAACTAAAAATTAACAGGAGATAATAGATAATAAAAACATGCCAGGGTGTATGACTTAGGGTGAAATGTAAATACTCTTTCTAGTAGACCAATGCTGTCAAAATGCTACAACATGAAACCATGCTGACAAATTGCTACAACATACAATTAGTAATAACTATGTTCACCATTTATTTTAAAGGTATTCCTCTCGGACTTCATCAATGCACTGATATTATAGCTTTCAACCCATATCTCTATGAGGTATGCGGACCAGTGAAAGTGACAAATGGTGTCCTCAAAATATATGGATAAACAAATCTTTGTTAAAAATCACTCTCTCGAGTGGATTCCCATATCATTTAAGTTGACGTGTTTTGAATGGCTCATCTCTGAGTCCATTCCACTTTAACACTTCAAAGTGATCAACCTGTCGAGAATTAACAATTAAGAAAATACGGATAACAAATCTCTTTGTTAGCAACTCTCTCAAGTCTACTTCCCATATCATCCAAATTGACGTGCAATCAATGGCTTAACTTAGAGTCCATGGCACTTTAACACTTTTCAGTGATCAACACGTCAAAAAGTGTCATTGGTTTTATAAAACTTGAAATGAAATAATGAAACATTGTTGTTACATAAAAGGGTCTACCTTATTTTGATTTACAATCTCACCCTTTCCGTCGTACACCCGAGCTAAGAAATTTAGCTACTCATGACGGAAAGTAAATTGCAAAAAATATAAAGTACGATAAATAAAGACATAAAAATAAATAATGGAAAGTAAATGACGAAATATAAATGATGGGCAATAAAATGCAGAAAGCGTAATAAATAAATGACGTAAATTAAAGAGCAAGTAAGCGTAATAAATAAATGACGGAATTTAAAGAGCAAGTAAATAAAGAAAGCAATTTAAGGAAAGCTTGAGATTAGTCAAAAGTTTACTAGTATTTCTAGAGAGAGAAAGTGTTCTTCAAGTAGTAAGACTACTACTTGAGAAATGGAGGAGAGGATGATCTAAAAACTAAACCCAACATCTCTATTTATACCATGGTAGAGATGAGGGTATTTTAGATAATTCAAACAAATTAGTCCTAAAGCAACCATTAGTACAATAAAGTAAAACTAAGAGTTTCAAAGTAACTAAATTAGCCAATAAGTTCCAGCTAATAAACAGCTGTCCTAAACATAAGAAGTCTTCCAAAAGTCAGCTTTAGTCTTGTCGGTCAACTCCTAGTCCTTTTTTTTTTCTATTTCTCCACCATCAGGTCATGCTGCCACAATCCCTCAGCATCAAACGGCTTCAACCTTTCCAAAATAAATCTAGATTAGTCCAATATCTAACAGAAACAGGTAAATCATTCATTTTTGCTTTAAAACAGAGAAAAGAGATAAAATGACTCAAACTTGGGATATAAATGGAAAATGACCTATCTAAAGGATAAGAAAATGGTGTTCTAAGCACTAAATAATTAGTGCGTATCAATGTCCAACAAATCCTAGAACTCGATGTATAGTGCTGGATCCCTCACTAGACTTCCGACTCTTATTAGAGATGAATATCCCTAGTGGAAGATTCAGATGATAAACTTCTATGAAGGTCTTGACCTGGACTTGTATGAATCTATCAATCATGGACCCTATGTGCCTATGACCGATATTCCCAGGGTTCCTGGTACTGGTACTACTGCTGAAGTTCCTGCTATTCGTGCTCCCAAGGATAGAAGGGACTAGGATGATGAAGACAAGCGTAGGGTTGAGATTGATCAAAAAGCCAAAAGGCTCTTGATCATGGCACTACCCAATGTAATTTTTCAGACTCTCGGTGCTTGTGATTATGCAAAGGATCTATGGATAAGCTAGCCAAACAGCTTGAAGGAGGTATTAAGATGAGAAAGAATCGCCATGCTCAATGCTTACACAAATTCAAAAGTTTTTAGGCTCTTCTTGATGAGTCTCTAAAACAGACTTATCATAGGTTCAATACATTGATCAACAAATGTAAGAAATGTGATGTGATAAGAACCCAGGAAGAGAAAATTATGTTGTTCTAGAAAAGATTGAATGAAAAGTGGGCGAATCTCTCTATGTCTTTCTAGGCCAACAAAGATTTGGAGCAATGGACTTTGCACGACGTATATGGAACTTTGCAAGCACAAGAAAAGGAGGTGCAAAAGAAAAAAGGTCACTCTAGGTGGACCTCTGGCTCTAGTCTCTGACTCTAAAGAGGCTAGCTCTGCCAAAGCATCCAAAGAAAAAAGGGCCAGAGAAGAAAGGTGGAAGGTAAAGAAGGCACTTGTTATGAAGAGTGAGGAAGAGAACAAAGCATCTAGCTCTGATGACGATAACATTAGTGCCTTTGCACACTCCTTGGCTCTCATTACCAAGGAATTCAAAAACAAGTTTGGAAGCAGGCATTTGACAGAAAGGGTTGAGATGACAGAAGTGAGAGGTACAAGGAATGTGTGTATGAGCCCAAGAACCCTCCTCAACAAACCATGAAGAAAGAGGAAGAGCTACCAGAGAAGAAGAAGCAGAGCAACAAATGTTTTCGTTGCGGAAGACCCAACCATTTCTCTAAAGAGTGCAAGGATCCTATGGTCAAGGATGAACTATACTATAAAAATAAGTACAAGTACAACGAACCTCAGAGGAGCCTCATGGCTGAACAGGAAAATTGGGTCTCTAACTCAACATCTGATGAGGAAACCCAAGCACACTTCTGCTACGATGATGATGCAGAAGCATTTGGATTCGAATATGACTCTCAGGTATGTTCTACTTCTGAATCTGTACATTCTAAACTTGAGCAAAGTATCTCTATGCTAACAAAAGATTTTTCCAAACTCCAACAAAAGCTTTTGAAGGACAAATAAAAGAGAAAAGTAATTGAAAATGAAAAGAACTTTTTCAAAAGAGAGACAGAGGTTCTGACTGTCGAGAAGAAGGAACTCTATGTGAAAAAGGAAAGGATTTTAAAAAATAAATTTCCCACAGAGACAGTTTTCAAAATAGAGTGCTCTGACTGAAAAAGGCTATAAAAGAGAAAGAAAAGGAGATTGTCGAAAATGAGCATGATAGACTAAATTATTTGGCTCTTAAAAATTATTTTCTAAGGGAAAGGGAATTTATACACCAAAGCTTGCAAAGAAATGAGCTATTGATAAAAAAAATATCAAGATGCTCAGCAGATGTATGAAAAGATCAATTCTCAATAGGATAGACAGGGCTAGGTTATGTTGACCTGGACCTAACCTTGAAGAAGAAAACGTCTCTTGAATCTGTCTTTCGTTTAGGAGCAGAACAAAAACCTAACTTTCTTACTCTGGATGAACCATCTCCTTTTAAAAGATCAAGACCTGAAAATGGGGCCAGAGCAAGAAGGCTCAAATTCAAAAACACCTCTTACTCTTCTATAAAAAGTATGCATGAACCAAAACAAGTAGATTTCGAAAGCATAAAGAAGAAAGAAGAAATTTTCAGTTTTGGCAACCATAATCAAGAGTTTTTAACTCCAAAGGATGATGAATTCAAAACTGAATCAGCACAAACAAGGGACAGAAAAGTTCCTGAAGAAGATTTTCTCAAAATTCTTGATCTATGCTTATTGAACGAGTTCACAAAAAGGTGAGACTAGTTTTTGAGCAAGATTTGCTTGAAGCTCTGGATCACTACTTTGTCTCTCAACAAAATAAAAACCAGAGGAGATTTCCAAAAAAAACTTTTAATGTTCCTCTTCTATGCAAAAGGATGAAGAGGGTTTCGATATCTATCCAAGGGAATCTCAAGATTCAAATCAGTAGACATATCTCTCTGATGATGAATTTTTCAACCAAAACTCAGATGACATTCTTCAATCTTCTAAAATACTACAAGGGCTCAACAAAAAATCCAATATTTTAAGTCTTAAGCATGATTTCTCGACTCTGACTCTGAGCCAGAGGAAGACTTGAATGTAGAGCGTTTTGAGACAGAGATAGTGGTGCCAGGACTAGACATTGATAAACTTCCAAATGGGATCCCTCTTAAAGCTATCCCAATTATGGAGCAGTGGAAAAAGGTTCCCATGTGTCATGATTTCATGGATACGTGTTTGAA